GTTTCCTTGTCATAAGGAGACTTCCTATATACGGCTTTTTGTACCCCTCTTCCGGATTCATGGAAACACATGTCAAGCAAATGTATGTTTGTCCAATGCATTCCGTTTTTTTATTAGTCTTACCATCCGTATACATTTGTATTCTACTTTTGACACAACACTTTGCATGCTATCAAACCCACGAAGGCCATTTCTAATCATTAATACATTCCTCATTCCCTGGATATCTACCCTGGTCCTTTAACCCCCTTGGGTGTATATTTGCATGCAGTCGTATGTAAGATGATGTCTGATTGGGCATGAAAGGCCAAATAGTGGGGGCAAGTTATATGAATGGATCACTAACAAGCAGTGATGACACCAGAGATTCGTGAAAGGAGGACTAGGCTCATGACAAGTAGCAGTCCTCGCAAAATCGTTTCAAGTGCCTCAGAAATCACTTGTGTGTGTACCTACTCACATTTAATGACCTTTGTCAGTCATATAAGTTATTGATTATCTTAATAAGACAGTGTCAGCTGCACATTTGCCACACATTACAATGTCGGCATCTTGCCTGGAAAAGGGACGCTGATATTGTGGTATAGTTCTTCTTAAAGTTATACAATTCTATGGTAGTTTAGTTTACAACAGCTATGATCTGCACATTCATATTATAAATGTCTTAAAGTGATTTGATCGGGAAAATCCTTACTTGCCGTTGCCTTAATCATATATTTTGCCTTTCAATCTGTGGGGAATGATAGTTGACTTGTCTTTAAATGAGTTTGTGACAGGTGCCACCAGTGGGGTATGATCACCTTTTCACGAATACCTAGTATCATCGCTATTTGATGGTGATTCAGAAACACATGCTCATAATATAGTCGGAATCTTACAATCGACTCTGCTTTTGGCAGAGACTTCGTAAGAGTATGGAAAGGGTTTTGTCGCTTTTATTTCAGTATGACATCGCATTAAGCAGGTATTAGCGATAGTTAGAATGACTGAAAATAACATTATTGTAAAACATCTTCATGTACGCCTCCAACACAACTTATGTGTGTGTCTTATCAAATGTAATTACCTATTTCAATCTATCCGTTAATGATTACCTAACTGCACCCTGTTCCTAAGTTTCACAAGATGTTGGCATATTGCCTGAACTCTGGCTACAGATTTTGAAACATGATTCCTCTATAAATGATTAGCGATGTGTACAAAACAGTATATAACCATGTAGCCTAATGTTCCATCCTTCATATGAATTCATTTGTTTTTCGTTTATCAATGTTGCAAAATTGGCGCCTGTGTAAGTGAAAACACGACAATAGCCATAAGTTACAGTTACTTCGTTGTAATTCCTGATTTCAGATTTCCCTTTAATTCCTGGAATATTGGCGACAGAATACTGTTGCGAATTGAAGGTAATGGGGTTTAACGTCGCGTCCAAGATTATTGCAATTATATAGCGACGTGCATGCACGTATGTGTGTCTGTGTGTGTGTGCGTGGCTGCTTGTACTCGTCCGGACTAATGCCGATTTTATAGTGCTTGCCCAATGAGATACCATGCCGCAGTTTAACATGAATACCCCACTCAGACACATTATACTGACTCCGAGTCCTTGTTTTAGCTCCTTAATGACGAGCGTCAGGCAGGGTAAGTATAACAAGTATAATCTTTTACCGTTGTTTGGTATGGCGCGGAAGGGAATCGAACCCCGTACCTTTCGCTCTTCGTACAGGCGCTCTGCAACTAGACCACATCAGCGGTCAAATAGTGTTCCTATCATTGCATCAAAATACACAAATTTCTTCTTTCAAAGGAGGAAGCGAATCATGTGTTTTAGCAAATTTTCTTTTCTATTAAACATGAGGCACAAATTATTTAAAGAGAATGTATTCAGTGTCTTAAGCAACAATGTTAACATGATTGCTATAATCGTATATGATGTACCATTGGCACTGGTTTAAAGCAGACAACTCCAGTCACTGAACCGACAGCAAACACCTGTTGTCTTGTCTGGACGATTTGTCTAGCTTGTCGTGGCATTACAAGCTGTCATATGCTACAGCTCCCAGATTGACAGTCTGTACTAAAATGTGAACATTCCCGTAATGTAACAAAAGACGACGTCAGTAAATGTATGTGTGGGCTATATCCCAAAGTCAATCTTTGCCTATTAATGTCAGTGAACTTTCATTCACGGAGGCAGCTCATCCTTCTTGATAAATAGATAAATATATAAATAATCCTTCATGTTCAACGAATGACTCCTATCACTCATAGGCACAAGGACTTGACTGGTGGTTTAGTCTAGCCAAGACATGGTCTCAACATTCAAATAATTAATGTCTAAAAAGTCACTGGATCGTCGAAATAGTAAACGTAATTATGCTTTTGATTTGACATCGCATTAAGCTGGTATCAGCGATCGTAAGAATGACGAAGTAATAACATTATTGGAATGTTTCGTCCACGTACAACGGCTTTCAAACTGACATGCAATGCCAGTAATAATGTGTTTCTACTAATGGGGTCAGTGAATGAGGGTTATACCGATGTGGTAATGGTCAAATATGCCCTCGGACACCAAGAACTGGCTGCAGACTTTGCACCAATGACAAGAATAGATCCCGTAGTTTTTACTATATGTCAACTGCTATGCATCTATGTAAGCATCTTCCCGAGGCAAGAGAGTTAACTGACTATAAATGTCCAGTTTCCACCCTTGCCGAACTAGGCTGGGATTATGGAGTTACATTTTGGCTGGACTAACGAGTCTATGCATAGACCAATCAAAATCGCGCACCGAAATCGAAATCCGGTTCGTAAACTGTCATGCAGAGTTCGGTCGATTGCAGGATTTGCAAAGCATGTGCTTCGCCAACTCGTTGTCAACAGATATTTTCCAAATCTTTTCATGTTTCTAATCAAGGTGCTCACGTGATTTGATGTACTTCGCGAAGTAAGAACCGTTTTATCACAAAATAGATCTTGATGGTCGATCAGATCGTCTTGACTGGGCGCCTACATTTTGTTTGAAGCAAATGCATGTGATACGAGAGGTGGAATCTGATTGGTCCATATGGGAGAGGCATAGAATGGACATAACTCGTAACAGCCACTGGTGGCGCTACGATCGAGCCAGGGAATTCAAGCCTAGTTCGGCAAGGGTTGAAACTGGACTTGTAAAGTCAGTTAACGCTCTTGCCTCGGGAAGATGCTATGTAAGAGGTGAAAGATGTTTGTTACACAGTTGACTTCTTCCTAAACGTATATGAAAAAAAATATTCATATATACATGCAAATAATTACATTGTATGTGTTTGAAAGGCATTTAACCAAGCAAAGTTTTTGTGTTTGTTTCCATTAACCGAAAAATACTGGCCGCGCCCACTACCACTCCCAATTGTCTGATAAAAGAGAGCGTGAGACTTGTATTACGTTATTGCGCTTATTATTGCGTATCGTTGTCCGCTGTTGTTATTCGGTTGCTAAGATGTCTGTGAAGTTACTGCTTTCGACTTATGTATAAGAACTGACATCAATATATTGTCAGCGTTTATGGAGGCATGAACGCAAAAACCGGTGTGCACACTTTGCGTAAACCCTCTGCGCTGATGTGTACAGTGTTCACATCGGTTTTGACGTTTATAACTCAATGAACGCAAACAAGATACTGATGTTATATCTTAAGTGTATCCTACCGAGTTGAGTTAAAGTTCATTTTCCGATATATTTACATTTTTCCATATCAATTCATAAGGATTTATAATCAACGTGAAAAATGTGAGAATATGAGGGAAAGATAAAATTGAACCCCCCTGTTCATAAATTGCACTTGTCCGACATTGGCGGCGTCGGGTTCTATTCAGGAGTCATCATTGTTTTTATGCGGGTAAATATTTAAAAGCGTGTACTTTTTACCAACATACTTTATCTTCTATGATTTTTACTCACTGCAGTGTTTTATTATTGTACGTTTAACAACTCCCACTCGTCGTGTATATCTATGATATACTTGTCTGTCTCTCTGTTAAGGAAGCGTTGTAGGGTCACGTTGAATTTTTGTTTGTCTAAGTATCTCCTGCGTAGGACTTAGTATCTTCTACGTAGGACTTAGTATATTCTACGTAGGACTTAGTATCTTCTACGTAGGACTTAGTATCTTCTACGTAGGACTTAGTATATCCTACGTAGGACTTACTATCTCCTACGTAGGACTTCCTACCTCCTACGTAGGAGAAAGTTATTCTAGTCCATACTAAGTCCCATGTATGAGATAGTAATTCTAGGCCATACTAAGTCCTACGTAGGAGATAGTAAGTCCTACGTAGGAGATAATAAGTCCTACGTTGGAGATAGTAAGTCCTACGTAGAAGATACTAAGTCCTACGTAGGAGATACTCAGACGAAAATAAAATTCACCGTGGCCCTACTTCTCTGTCGCTGTCTGTGTGTATTATATATATTGTATGTAATGTTAGGTTAATGTTTGACAGCTATTTGCATGTATGTGCTTCAAATAACGTTATTCCTCAATTCCGCGAAAGAATATATCCGAGAATTTCAACGTGATAGCATAATGTAGAGAAGGGAAAATTGGTATGCAAGTACATGTAAGTAGACGATAATTTCAGTCGATGCGGAAATAACTACACACTAACGTGTACATGTCTGCAGGAAGATTGCAATGATAGATCATTTTATCATTTTATAGGTAGATATCATTTACATACATATTTATGTATGTTAACGTTCTCATATATCGGTTATTTGATTACGTCCAAGAACGGATTTGTGTAGTTGCTTATTACTCTCATGAAATGGATTCACTCGGGTAAATTCAGTTCATTCTAAGCATGAGGTTAATTTGTTTAATCAAAGCCCATGCCACTATTAAAGATCACAAACACACATCCTTTTGTGCGCATGCTTTAGGTTTAATCGTCATGTCATAATGTTCGCCTAAAAACTTTGTTAGAGAAAGTTACTCTTAAGTCGTAGATAAAATATTATATTCAAAATTACTTTATTCAGATCAGTATTTACATATTATATACATGTCTAAGGCAATAATTAAATTATTTCATATCTTCTGAAAATAAGCATGCGACAAACCAAATACAATTAATGCAATCATTCGCTGATTTGAAACCCGGAGCGGTTACGTCACGAATAAAACATAACATGAAAGAAACTTCGTTTTGATTCTACGGTAGAAAAGTTGTAAAACATAATCGGTTAAACTAAAAAAAAATCTTCATCTAAATTACACAGAAACATAATAACAAATCATACTTGTTATGTGAAAACGAACCATGTTACCAATTCATTCCCGTGTTTTTTTTAACATTAAAATAGCTTATTACACTAAAATAATGACAGAATGATTTTCAGTGAGATTATTTGCTGTATTTACCGAAAGTGTCATGCCAGCAACACTACCTATCCTCGAAACACCCTTCAACAAATTATTAGGAAGAATGAATGATGTCAAGGATCCCAACGTCATTAACGACCTTGAAACACAACGGTCACCCAACAAATACGAAATTACTCAACATAAGTTTATACAGTACAGGCAGCGTATACGACTAGGTTGAAATCAGGAGTAGACTGCGGGGTCGTCCAATGGTATGATGGTAGAGAACTATGAAAATCACTTCCCTTGTAAATGGACAAAGTCGAGTTATGTTGGATTTGTGTCTGGACGACACTTACGTTGTGTCGCCAATTTCTTTTCTTCCACTTCAGGAAGTATGTTATTAGGATGCGTCTTGGGACGAGAAATTCTGAAAAGAAAAAAAATACATCAGTAACGACGATATAATGGACTCCAACATTTTTGTAAGAGAAAGGTTCTGTGGGGTTCATTTATACACATTAGAGATGGCTTATGCTTTCCGTTTTGACGTAAGTGATATCCTTTTTACCGCTTTGGCATTCTAATTGAGCACTTTGATATGGAAATGAGTTCATTGGCACCAAAAACCTGTTTTGTTATATATCATTATTCATGCCTGTCTTTTTACGGTCTGTAAATATTTTAAGATGAAGAAAACTTTGTAGCGTACTCATCCGTTGTGTGTTTACTGAAGCTATGTAAACACCCAATAGCTTATAGATCTATGTATATTCACTTAGGTAAAACTTAACCTTGTATATCATGATAACTTTTAAGAGGAACTGACGTACAAAACCCGTTACACATTTCGAGACAAATATAATGTATTAACCGCATTTCAAAGGGCCTTTTAATCATATTTTATATCCAGTTTGACAATTCATTGTCGGTTCGAGGCTGGCGTTTGATGTGTACGTTAAGTGGCAGCTTGAACTATTTCAAATCATAAACCAGAAATAATGACGTAGATGCCTTTCTAATAACAATTCTACCTCACAGGGAATGCAAATAAGCGAAACAATGTAATAACGGGGTGCCAAGGGGCATTTTCCAAACTGCATATTGAGCGGTCTAAAAAAGCGGAACAGACACAGTGTATATCCCCAGTGGCTTAAGAAATAACATTTTGCAATCCACTTAATCTCTCTTTGATTATTAAATTGACTGTCCCATAGGCAATGTCTGTCTCCGGATGTAAATATTCAAACATCGGAAAGTGATGGATAGAATAGATTTTAACAATTTACTTGTGACAAAATACAGTTTTATAATGCAAACTGCTTATGTACTTAGCAAAGCACAGATGCAGTTCAATCAGTATATTATTTAATCGTGATAAATACATTCTTATTATGAAATATGAAGACCTACCAATACTCAAACGTGTACCACGTTATAAAGACGACAATATCTGCTAATTACAGTTACGAAGCAATACTGTTGTATCACTGAATTAATGTTTTCATAAGTATGTTTTGGCAAGATTATATGTGGTTGCAATGGCTTGTGGTCACCAATGCTTTATTGTACTTACGTCTGAGTCTACTTTCTCAGCTGATCTCTTGCCTAATTGGGCAGCATCCATTCTCTTTCCCAGTCGTGCTCCGAACATTCGTGAGTCCATTTGCCGCTTTTGCCGTTCAACATCAGAACCGTCCCTTTTCCCGAGTTGTGCATTAAAGCCATAGGAATCCATTCTCCTTTTTCCAAGCTGCCCAGCAAATCCAAGGGAATCAACGCCCCTCTTTCCAAGTGTTCCAGCAAAGCCAAATCCATCCATGCCCCTTTTCCCAAGCTGCCCGGCATATCCGAGACTATCCATTCCTCTTTTGCCTAGTGTTCCCATGAATCCATAATGATCTACACCACGTTTGCCAAGTTGACTTGCAAAACCAAACCTGTCAACGGCCTTTTTCCCTAACTGACTTGCGAATCCCAGTTTGTCCATTGCCCGTTTCCCAAGTTGACTCGCAAATCCAAACCTGTCCACAGCCTTTTTTCCCAGCTGACTGGCAAATCCAAACTTGTCCATACCTCGTTTACCGAGTTGACTGGCAAATCCAAACTTGTCCATACCTCGTTTACCGAGTTGACTGGCAAATCCAAACTTGTCCATACCTCGTTTACCGAGTTGACTGGCAAATCCAAACTTGTCCATACCTCGTTTACCGAGTTGACTGGCAAATCCAAACTTGTCCATACCTCGTTTACCGAGTTGACTGGCAAATCCGAACTTGTCCATTGCTCTTTTCCCAAGCTGACTTGCAAATCCAAACTTGTCCATGCCTCGTTTACCCAGTTGTCCAGCATATCCCAAATTGTCCATTCCCCGTTTACCAAGAGTTCCAGCGAAGCCCAGACTGTCCATTCTACGTTTCCCGAGAGTACCGGCAAAGCCCAAATGATCCATTCTACGTTTACCAAGAGTTCCAGCAAAGCCCCAATGATCCATTCCTCGTTTACCAAGAGTTCCAGCAAATCCCAAAGGATCCATTCCTCGTTTACCAAGTGTTCCAGCAAATCCCAAAGGATCCATTCCTCGTTTACCAAGAGTTCCAGCGAAGCCCAGATTATCAATTCCTCGTTTACCAAGAGTTCCAGCAAATCCCAAAGGATCCATTCCTCGTTTACCAAGAGTTCCAGCAAATCCCAAAGGATCCATTCCTCGTTTACCAAGAGTTCCAGCAAATCCCAAAGGATCCATTCCTCGTTTACCAAGAGTTCCAGCGAAGCCCAGATTATCAATTCCTCGTTTACCAAGAGTTCCAGCAAATCCCAAAGGATCCATCCCTCTTTTACCTAACCGACCTCCAAAGAGAATTGGGTCAATACGTCGTTTTCCTAGAGTTCCAGAAAAACCTAGTGTGTCCACTGATTGACGTTTTTCGTCATTATTGTTTGTAGCATATACTGATTTACTCACATCCTGGTAATATCCATCAGTGTCTACATTGTCTTTTACCTCACTTTCACTGGCATCATCTGGTGTTTGTGGAACAACAACGTCTTCGGCTTGGGTTGATGATGCCAAAAGAATATATGTAACTAATCCCAGGCAGAAAGGTGTCATCCTTAACAGCATCGTCCCTAGGTTTACCTGGAACAAATAATACAAATAATTGAACGGAAACGGTAATGGAATATGGACCGTCAAATATGTTGGTTAAGTCCCCAAAACTCTTTTGCATGCGATGTAGTTGAATTATGTCATCAACGAAGAAATCAATATCTTGTAAACAGAATCATGTTACAGGATAGATTATTCTTAACGACTTGGAAAAGTTGAAATTTTCAGCAACTGTCTATAAAATACTGATCGGCTAGTATCATGTTACTTTTAATAGCTTATAACAGGACCCACGTCCCACATTTATTTCTCCTAAAGATTCTTACTCTATCAACAGATGGGTTATATCTTTTGAGATATGTTAGGCGTAGATGTCGATGAGGCAGGTAAACAGACGTACAATGTATATTGCAACATTTTATCAATTAACATGTTCTTCACAACACTATGATCCAGACTAACATAGTTTTCTCATGACTTGTTATTTAGAATATCTTACGACCTGTCGGACCATTAGTACCGTCCAAAGCTGCCTTTTAAAGATAAATTGATAGTCAGTTTTCACCAATGAGTTTACTACGATCTCGCAAGGTCGGTCTAACAACACGTTCACCCAAGTTTAACAAGAAACACGAACAGTTGTTAAATAAAAGACCTCACATATTATTTGTGTAATCATTGGAAAGTTATGTCCAACAAATCCTCGTAGATATTTATTTGTCAGGGAAATATGAACCATCAAACATTGATATAATGCCATGCCATGGTACTGTTTTCTAGGTTTATGAACTGACCTTTTCACAAATGTATCAATGTATCAATACATGTAATGTATGTAACGTAAAACGTGTTTTCAAAGGAGAGGTGAAACGGTCCTTTGTTCACAATAGATCATGTCATTTCGACCACGGAGGTATATTATATCATCCAGTTGAAGTTATACTTTAACGTAAGTTAATATATGCGGTTATCTACAATGAATTTATATTATGTTAGTTTAAATACTTTAGGTACGAAACAAAGAGCTAGTATTAATATATTTACCACATAAAGAAATGCGTACCATAGAATCATAGTTCATAGATGTTTCAATGAGATGTCACATGTGATGCATTTATGAGCGTCGGTTCACAGAACATACCAGTATGTTCGTTTGTGCATCAAACAAAAATAATATCTCTTGAATATGAGTAATTCTTCATATATTAACCAACATATATGCCGCGGTTCTTATGTGGGTGAGCATATATCCAACCACATGCTTTGTTTGTTCGTAACAGAAGGGCGCAGGCAGTACAACCATCTCGGGGGTTCCAGGATTGAAATGCAATATTTAACCTGTTTATACTCAGGATGTCTCCACAATATTCGTGGTAACAGTTTCCCCAAAGCGGCACACACCTTCCGTCTGAGCAACTATGGGCGTTCAACGTTACGCTGGCAGTCATGATTACTAAAATAATTTTGAAAGCGAGGTTAATGCCAACTCACACAGTCCCACATTAATATTTACTCTTTAAGTTGCACGATTGATAGACTGCCTTGAATTTAGCCATGATCATGGGTTTTCAGAAATACATTTTCACTATATTTCTTACACTAAAGTCACTTAAGTGTTGGGATGATCCGGGACAAAACAGGTCCAAAGTACATGTACCTGAATCTTGTCGTCGGAGACAGCTATAAAGGGTATCGGGTGGTCACGCTCTCAATGACTCGGATCGTTGCCGTAATTGCTTTCAGTCACCGGTTACTTGTTCCAGACGAGATTACATAGAACCCACAGTTATATAGATGGAATGATTCCAAATGCATCGTTAACTCACTCATTCACGTCCAATTAATCCTACTCATATTATCTCGCGGAATTCGGCTTGCATTGCCAACTGTTCTCATGATGAGTGGTTTCTGTGAACATCATGATGGCCCAAGTGATGACAGACCTAATTTGTAGAGAAGCAATTCACTGTCAAAGCTACTGGCTCATCAAAAGATTGTTCATGCCTTTACAAGGGGTGAGATGAACCGATGTGAGTGGCATAACCCACTGATAGTTGCGTTCATGGTTGACGGAAGGTCAGATACATAAAGGGCGCGTGTCGTAGATAGGTGTCAGTTTGACACATGAATCACGTCTTCCTCTTCTATTTGAATTGAGGGAGAGTCAAATAGCAATGTCACAGTGTTCCTATTTCATATGATCTGTCAATCAGAAATGATTTGAGAGCTTGTACAAACCTCATTATGCAGTCACATGTGCTTCACATGCATGGATTTGAAAAACGTTAACCTCCTTTAAAGCATATTCATTTAAATGTCAAGGAATGACAGATTATGCTTGCTATGACACTCAAAAGGAACCAGACACATGAATATTGTTTCATTTGTTGTATTTTTCAGAAATACATCATTTATGGCTTGCATTCCAGCTCTTCTGGTTCAGTTGTTTTCACCAACCAAGAAGCTAAAAACATTTGTTTAAAATTCACCCAATTTTGGTTCTTGATATTCTTATAATGTTGATATGTTCATGTCAAACGTGATCTACAGCACTTACAATGAGAGGTGTTAAACAGCCTGTTTATAATAACGATTAAGTACAAGAAGAATCAATACTCCAAACCTACAAAAATATGTCGCTCGACCATTTATCCACAAGCGAGAAATAAGCCACTGGACAACAAGACGTTTCCCAATCATTTAAAGCCGAAAATATGTCTTTGATGATATAACTGCATTGTATTCCATGTACCAAATAACGGACTTACTTGTAACGAATTTTAGAGTGTACAATGTATTGTAGGTCAGTTAAAATAAATGATCCATCGCCAGGAATGAATACGGAGATGCTGTCGCATGTAAAAAAATATGACCTCCCGACTGTCGATTCATTTAAACAAATAACGTTAACGTCCAAAAATATTAGTCTCGATCATCCTCCGAAACAGATTCCATTGAGCGTCAAAAGTAAAATAGTGGTAAAAATTACATGAATGGATCACTTCAAATCAGTGATGACACCAGGTGTTCTCGAAATGGGTTAATGGAATGCGCCCAAATGAGCAAGGTATATGATTATGGAATGTCTTTAAGCATCGTATTGAAAGGCATAATTCTCGGAACATTACATAAGCGAATAAATAGCAGATACAGTTTGGTCTATTTCGAAAACTTGAGTTGGTATTCGCTTTTGTGTAAATGCGTTTTGTTCATACACTTCTCTTTCGAGGTTTGCATATGTGAAGGCCACGTTAGTTCTCCGTCAACAGAGCGATTATTCACTTTTCTACTTTGTCAAATACCATTATCCCGAATCGCTATTAATAATGCTCATCCAAAGATTTTCTATGAAGGAGACCTTTCGTGACACAAATAATTCCTGAAAATACAGATTTACGCCACTGATTTTATGTTGATTCTAAGTCCTTCGTGTTTTACATTGATTGTTTTTATCATCATTGTTTTTTTTTCTGCATGAAATGGCAGTGACAGGTACTCAAGTGTCAATTCCCTGTCGACTAGCGATTTTCGTAAAAGCATGTTTAGGAAACATAATTCGAAATGATTGTGACTATAAGGTGATCAGCCGTATCTGATCCAGGTAATTTCCAATCAAGTGGACAAATTGAAGAGATTGTGTTTGAAATAGTGAACGGAATGGGTAATAATTTGATTTGGAATCTAAAATAGAACAAATATAGCCCACATGATTTCTTTAAATATTTTTCAAATTTGATAGAAAATTGCCTCCATTTCATCTAATGATATAAAGAGACGGCGATAATGAGGCTTCATCTGAAGTGTTTACCACTGCCAGAATGGTCATCTTAGCGTTAATATTGTTATGGGATCTATTTGACAACCATCTGCTAATGTCCACATACGTCAGTTATCGGTGCCAATCATGTAAATTGCAGCAAAACACTAAGACTGATGAAGACATGGATCGATGGCTTAAGTGATGTCCGAACAATCAGGCTCAACAGATCCGTTATTCGACACAACGTCCTAATCCTTCAGATGAGGTTGTTATGAAGGGATTAAGTCAACAGAAGTTGACATGAGTGTCACGGCATCCCATCGTCACAAATGTGACGTGAACTCGTAGGCTTGGGAGTGAGTGAGTGTTTTGGGGTTAAAACCGCTGTAAACGACGGTTCAGTTTTGACGCTTCGTGACAGCTTCATGTGGGAGGAAAGCAAGAATTGATGAAGGTTGAGATGTTGATGGTGACGCCAACCAGCACTGGTATGGTACTGATGTACATATAAACCAAGGATCATAATCAGGGCGAACCGTGATTCGAACGACCATAGGTTTCTGGGACGCGTAACGTGCGCAACTCTTAAGCGTGAATTGCCGCTCCCTATCAACTGTGTCAATCGTGACCTCTTTAGACACAGAACAGGTGACAAGATATGTGTTATTACATCAAAGAATATGAGAGGGTGGAACGGCACGTATGTTGTGGCAGTTAGAATCGCCTGTTACAGATACGTGATTTGGCTGCAAGCTGTGTACATTCCGTACGTGCCCTGAGCACGATCGTCCCAAGCAAGCGTGCCGCCATCTTTTTTTCCAAGTACATCATTGTTTTTAACAGGATTTACCATTATCACCCATATTGGGTTTGCGGGAAAAAATAGGTCCCTCAGTAAGAGGTACTTTGGTGTCAGGCTCGGTGACTTGGTTGATTGCATGTCATTGTACCTCGGCGGCGTCGACCGTTGCTCTTATTTCAATCACTGGTTTGTGTGGTCCAAATTAATTTAATTACATGCCACGTTCACATAATTGAAATACTGCGGTATGAACCGTTAAACAAACAAAAATTCAAACCAACTACCAAAATGACAAAATGAGCATATTTCTTCGTTTTTTCTTGTTTGATAATTCAATACCGGAACTTCAATTTTGTAAAATTGCGTTGTTAGCCAATCAAAAGCCATAGGATACCTTGTTTTTTCTTTTACGAATATGTTTCGGCAGATAAACGAGACTGATTATTCTCTGGAGTTGACATGTTATTC